CGGCCGCAATCTCCGCGCCGACGCCCCCCGTCTTGCTCGCCTCGTGGACGATGACGAGGCGCCCCGTGCGCTGCACGCTCTCGAGCACAGTTTCCACGTCCCACGGGAGTATCGTGCGCAGGTCGATGAGCTCGACTTTGGCGGAGCGCAGCGCGGCAGGCACGTGCGGCGCGAGGGCCGCCGGCGGTTCCGCGAGCATGGAGAGCGCGGTCTCGCAGTGGTAGACGGGCGTGCCCCAGGTGACGAGCGTTAGATCGGAACCGGGGACGAGGGTCTCCGCGCGCCCAAGTGGGATCTCGTAGTCGTCTATGGGCACTTGTTCGACTAGGAGAGAGTAAGCGCGTGCAGGCCGTGGCAGGGAAGCACGCACTAGCAGAGCGGTAAAGAATTTTGGGTTCCATGAAGATGACGGGATTGGGGTCTCGTATTGACGCCAGCAAGAGTCCCTTTGCTTGAATTGGGGACCGCGGTATTACGATCTGCTAGGGTCAGGGCAGGCCTGAAGGAGCGGCGAGAGAATCACCTTCAGTCCGGCTGCGCCCATGAAGAAGCCCTCGGGGCTTTGTGAATGATACAGCCCACCGTGTCCCACCGACATTGTTGGTGTTCGTATTGTCAGCCCACCTACGTTGAACTGACCCCCGCTACGGTATCGGTACTTGGCGGCTTCGTTAACTAGCTAAGCGCAAAAGGTTGTCAGAAAGGGAGGCGGCCCTTAACCCTGTACAAACACACCTGATCGAAGGCAGGGAATATGTAATCTGAGAATTGAATCTCTGCAATGGCTGTCTGGCCCATCGCTGCCAATCCGATGCCGAAGCCTGCGATACCCTGTTCCGACAGAGGTGTGTTGAAAACACGCTCGCGACCTGGACTTTGTCAGGATGGAGAAATGGAGAATCGCGGAAATTATTCACCGAATTCCTCAGCCAAGCCCTGTGCGTCGAGTGAGAAGGCGGGTGAGGATCAAAGCGCGGCGGAAGCGGACAAATTACCATGGTACACCTGAAGACGCCGCCGAACGCGACGTCCTCTCCAAAGACGACGGCATTGTCGTCCTTCAAAAGCGCGATACTGTGTCCGAGTGAGCGAAGCGTCCCTCCCGAAACAGAGAAGGTCACGCACCTCATTGCGTCCCGCACGGCTTGATACACATTCATCTTGCGCGTCTCTCGTCCGCCGACGATCGTGGGCGCGCCGCTCCCTTCGTCTTTCCATTGGATGCCTGGGGTACGCAGCGACGAGTCGCGCGTTGTCCGGAGGACTTTCGAGGTCGCGATGGACGGAAGGTGGCCGCCGGCAGGCGGAGGTTCGACGGCTGTGGACTGGCAGCGCTGCGCGCCGTGAACGATCCTTCTCTGCTTCTATCTGGTCAACGAGACCTTCAAATACAGCTGAGTATGGCTGACCTGTAGCTCGGCGAGTCGCCGTGCTATGCGAGCTGGGTGAAAGTGGGGAGTGAGCATGGTGGAGGGCGGGGAGTAAGATCCGGGGTAAATAATGTAATGATTTATAGCAGATCTGCTGCGCTAGTGCGACCGTCACTCGCTCAGGCCCACATCTCTGATCTTCCCTGCATGTTCTCCGCCTACGACTCGTCCGCCCCAGCGGGCTTTCGCAGCCATCTCATGCCGCCAGAGGCCCCGAGTGCGCCCCCGCGATCCGCACTGGACCACGAATCGACGTTCGTCGCGCCGGAGGGCGTATACTCGGTCACTGAGGACCACAAACCCATCCCGGTCACACACAATGCACCCCTCCCCATCTACCCCACCCGATTGTCAACAGTCACGATCCGCTTTCCCGCAACGAAACAAGCTGGCGGGCCGGGCTTGGGCCAGCTATTGGGGGGAGGGAAGGACTTTTGGAAGGAACGGGGGCTCGCTCCCGCTCCGAAGGAGGACGGAGTTAGCGTGTCCAGCAGCGAGACACCCGACGAGGGCACGTCTCCAGACCCCTCTAACCTCCAAGATAGCACTCCGCAGACACCCATCACCACTCACGACCACCATGGCTTGTTCAGTCCGCCCATGGGCGGCAAGAGGAGGGGATCATCTCGACCGAAGCATAACATGCGCACGACGTCCTCCACGTTCATCACTCGTCTCCATAGCGCGGAAGGTCTCGCCAGGAACTTGCAGTCCAAGCAGGGAGAGGTCAACTACATCTTCTACAACTCTGCGAAGAACATCTACTGGGTGGAAGCAGGCCTGAAATCGAAGGTGAGTCAGCTGCGCTCTGTGCGACTGTGCAGTGTGTAACGCGGGCACAGGAACCTCTCGCACGCATCCACTTCTCAGCCTACCCCACTTGTCACGACGTCAACCAGTCTACCGTCTCGCACGAGCATCTCGACATCATCATTGGGTTCAACACCGGGGACCTCGTCTGGTTCGATCCTATAACATCTCGGTACGGACGGCTTAACAAACAGGGAAGGATCTCTGGCGTAGCGTGCACCGCTGTGCGCTGGGTGCCGTCCTCTCCGAACCTGTTTCTTGTGTCCCATGCGGATGGGACTATCATCGTGTACGACAAAGATCGAGACGACGGCGTCTTTACTGCTCAAACTCCGACTGCGCCCTCTCCATCGCGTTCACCTGTGGGTAGCCCAGTCCCTGGTACTTCGGATACGACTCCCCCGGGTGAGTGGAATCCCCTGGACAGCATCTTCGTCACCGTGCCTCCATGGCACCCGATGAATGGTGCCGGCGCTGCTGCAGGAGGCCGGAGTGAGAAGGAGAAGGGCACGAAGAATCCTGTCAGTCACTGGAAGGTGTCGAAGCGCAGCGTTGTGGGTGAGTTTAGCGTCCTTCAGTCCGCGTTAGATGTCGGGAGTAACATTGTTTCCAATGAAGATTTTGTCTTCTCTCCGGACGTCAAATACGTCGCAGCCATCTCTGAGGATGGCTGCCTAAGAGTGATCGACGCGTTGGCAGAACAGTAGGTTGCTCGTCGTCACGATGTCGGTCTCAATCTTACCTGGGTGTCAGACTTGTCGATTGCTACGCCGCCTACTTTGGCTCGCTGACGTGCGTTGCATGGTCACCGGACGGGCGCTTCATAATCGTAAGTCCCTGTTCCCTGTGCGACAGGCGCATTCTAATCTGAGAACTGTCTATCGAATCTGTCAGACGGGGGGACAGGATGATCTTGTCAACATCTTCTCGCCTTGGGAGCAACGTGTTATAGCTCGCTGTCAAGGCCACTCCTCGTTTGTCTCTGCTCTGGCATTCGACGAATTTCGTTGCGATGGGCGAACATATCGCTTTGGTAGTGTCGGAGAGGACAACAAGCTCATCCTTGTGAGTCTTCTTGAACCACCATGTCAGGCGAATACTCACATCGCGCATTGGAAAGTGGGACTTCTCCAGCGGCATCTTGCATCGACCGAAACTTCAGTCGACGCATCACCAACGACTGTCGATGTCGTCCACTATGTCTCTGGCTCTCCGACGCAGAGAGGGCACCGCTGACAAATCGACGCTTCATCTACCGCCCCCAGGTGCTGATGGACCTCTTCCACGATACCACCCAGCACCGTCACGAAATGAGGTCGCCGTCGTGCAGCCTGTTTTGGTACGCCTCATGTTATAGTCTGTTTGTTCGGGGTGCGCTAATCGCAGTGTACAGGTAAAACAACAAGAGGGAGACATCCTGACTGCCATCACATTCCTTCCGCGCTCGCTCCTGACCGCCACAAAAGTCGGCCATGTGAAGCTGTGGATCCGACCACTCCCCACAGTCCCTGGACGTGCAGCTAAGAACGGACATGTACAGAGGCCTACTGATGCTCAGGATGATTGGGTGGGGTAACATGCTTCTTTTGTTGGGTTTTTGGCGGGAAAAGAACGTTTGTATACATGTTGTTTCCGGACAGGCGCTATGGCCAGCTGTGGATACCATTTGTAATTTATCTACCTCATTATCAACTCACGAACATTTTTGTGTCACATCATTGAACAGCACACGGAAGCAAGGGAGGACGGAATCTCACAGAGGAGTGGAAGTCGTAACTAACGGTGCGCATGCGTCGACGTAGATGGCGGACAAAGTCGGATTCACTCGGCTCGGTTTTCCTCCGGCCATCGATCAAGAACAGAGTTCCGCAGACGACATCGGCAGGATTTGAACCTATGGCTTAAGAGACGTGAGGGGTTTGCTATACAATTCAAACATCGGCGGGATTTCAATGCAGCGCATGAACGAAGAAAGAGAAGAAGCCGAAGTTGCAGCTATTGCCGATACCACTCAGAATGAAGCAATGAGCGATACTTAGCATAGAAGTATTCTGAGGCATGGCCGAGGTAGGTAGACGCGTCGACGCGACTCGGACGCGGTGGCACGCAGTAATGGCACGCTTTGCTGCTGCTGACGCGGCGCTTGAAGTTGAAATCTCCATTATTGACGTGCACTTGCTGCTGCTGCTGCTTGCTCCGCTCCCCACCCTTTCCCTAGCGCATTTCACTTCCTTGCGGTGCCTGTCTTAGCTTCTCCTTACTTGACGCAGTGCAAGACTTGCAACTAGCTGCTCTCCCCAAGTTTCTCCTACCAAACTCCTGCGAGCTGTCGTGAGCTACTTGATTACCTCTCCACCGCAAGGCTTGAAAAGTGATTTTTCTCTACATCCCGAGGCTCGCTACGTCTTCCGCGACATTCAGATGGGAGCTCCCAGGCTGCTGGGTGGCAGGGGCAAGCTCCTTTGAAGTGGTCTACTTCAAATTATGTCACGTGACCGACGCGTCGCGCGTCTTCACACAATCGCGAGAGGCGCGTTTTACTGCGTCCTGGACATACACAGGCTGAAACTCTCGGTGTGTACGATGCTTTGACGAACCAAGGTGAAAACTAAACAAAACCCGACCCTTTTTGGTGTGTTCCGAACCAGGTAGCCCTCCCTCATCAGACACTGTCCCGCTCTTCCATCATTCCTCCATCATCCCATCAAAAATCTTGAAAAAAACAAATAAAAAGCGGAAAGCAGCATTTTACCATGGCAGCGACACCAGCAGGATTTGAACCTGCGCTCCCAGAGGGAAACAGATAAGGAAAACAAGTAAGTTTGTTCGAATCTGTCGCCGTAACCACTTGGCTATGGTGTCATCATCATGGCAATGTTTTTTGATCTGATTATATCGGGAGGCTGTATTCAGGTCCACAACTTCGCTGTGACCATTTCCATCTCACTCGGCCGGTCAGACTCTCGGTCGGGTTCCACACTTTCGCCGAGGTCACCTATCAAAGAAGATCTTCTTGATTAAGTTCACATGGACAACTTCACTTGTCCCCCCAATGACGTAATGTGCATGAGAAGCTGCTGCTGAATGCTGGTGAGTAGTTGTCTACTTGTCTCTTAGAGCATGTCTCGCCAGTGTGCATATCTGACGACACGATCCTCCGGCGCCTATCTCAATGGTTCCCAAACCCCTACAACAACCTCTACAACATCATATTCCTCCTTCCTTTTTTGTTATCCAGACGTGTTCACGCCGCCCGATCACCTCACTGCGTTTGAACACTATCCCACGCCGGGGTCGTACTCCCGCAGGGGATAGTTTATGGTCTCTGATTCGTCTCCCGATCGTCCCATCTCCGAGTTTGACAGCCGCAACGTCTCGTTACTGTCGACCTACATGGTGTCTATCTTCCCTTTCCAACCCATGGATCGCGTGCCCAACCCGGTGGAACTGTTTCGTACCCGTTTCTGGGAGCTACAAAGGCCGTCTATCATGATTTCGACAGTATCTCTGTTGATCCATGCCTTTTCATGCACAGGAACAATTGCTATGATATCTTTGTTTTGTATGCTTTTGTTCAAAACCATATTGTACCGAGAGGCTGCAGTCAGGCAAGCCAGCGCCCGTCAACCAAGAGATCCGTTTGCCTGCCCTAAACATGCCACGCGCAATAAAATCGAACTTCTAAGCTTGCCATCCTTTCATCTTTTAACAACTACCCAGGCGCTGTTATACCACATGTTCGACTGTCGCACTCCGATCAGCAGTCTTTCATTGCCAGCAGCCTCAGAAGGAAGATGCGCTCTTTGGCTGAACATCCAGGCATTTCGCCCTATGGATGGGCTCGGTCACCTGGCGTCACCGACAACTTTGCCCGCGATACGTAGATGCTTTGTAGGCGACAGTAGGCGAGCACCTCCAATGATATTTGGCGTCTGCGTCTGTTTTGTGCCCCGAGAGCGGCCCGAGGATGTGCACCCAGTCGCGTCTCTTGCATAAGTCTTCGTCGCGCGTAGGTCTTCCTTCATGGTATGTACTGTGCATCCGATCACCCGAAGTCTCCGAGCGAAGTCTCTGAGGAAATCTGTGTCCACTGGCAACAGGAGGGATTTGACACCCGGAACCTGTTTTCTCTTGCCTTTCTTGTATCACCCGGCAATCCATGAATCCATCCCGACGTGCTGTACTCTGGCTTTCGAATTCGGGAAGGTCAATGGTCATCAACTCTGCACTGATTTTGTGGAATTCCATCTATGAATTGTGGATAATCACGTCGATGACTGGTAGGTACTTCTCATTTTCCAGCAGCTTCTCGCGCTGGCATCTGCATTCTGAATACATAACCAAGTAACACACTCTCGTACCATAATGACATCAATGCACAGATGCGTTCGCAATCGTAGACAGTTACACCGATGACAATGTTAGCCGCGTGTAGGATATATTTAACCCTTCAAATAGCCTTTCAGTAACTGTAGTTCGTACATGCACAAGTAATGTTCTCCGCAGCGATAGAGGTGGGAGGAAGTATGCATGCCTTGAATCAATCTGCGTTATCCACTACATCTTCGAAGAGGAACTGCCACAATGCATCCGGATCCTTGAAGTCATGATGCGTGATATTCACCAGCCACCGACTGTCCCTGATACTTTCGAGGAGCGTTCGCTCAGGCGATTCTGGAGGGAAAAGTGACGACCAGTCCGTCCATATAGAGAACGCCTCCTCCTGCGGATGCTGTCAGTCTGGGTATGCTGAGACACAGAGGACGACGCTTACCTTCCACGTGAGGAACGACTCTTGCTCGATGATCGTGGATTGCACGATCTCTTGCCCGGGAAAGACGCCCCACGTCACGGCATTCCGCTCGCCTTCCAGGACGTTTGTCCGCAGTTCTCCCTGTCAAAGGAGGCTCGATAAAAGGCGGATCGAGGTCGCAGACAGACACACGTACCGCGTTGTTGCCCGCGAGAAAGTCGACGGACCCCTTCGGCATCTGCCTCACCTTGCTCTCCAGCCGCTCCACGTCGTCCATCCCAACAAAGAACTCCACAAACGGCTTCTGGTAAACATATCCGCCTGCGGGCCCCCATCCGACGACGCTGTCGGACGAGTGCGCGCCGTCGACCGCGGGCTGCGAGCCCACAGGCCACCACCCCAGGTGTGCGAGCCGCTTGAGGTGCGGGAGGATGAGATGCGACTCGAGCGAGAGCGGCGAGGACGAGAACGGATAGGACAGGACCTCGGACGTGAGAAAACGCAGGCAGATGGCCGAGATGTCCGCCGCGGTGCGCGGTGGCGGCCATTGCGTCGAGGCCGCGGTCTGTGGAGGTTAGGATGCGCGTGACGGGAGAAGCGGTGGGGCGTACCAGGCGGCCGAAGCCTCCCCACATGTCTTGGCTGCCGAAGGCGGGGCTGTTCACGTCGCCGAACCGGCCGTTGGGGAACTCGTCCCATGTCGCCGCGTTGTTCACCTCGCCCTTGCCGATCTCGCCTTCCACGGGTAAGTATGGGATCAAGCCATTGCTGGCAGTGCTCGTGGCAGTGGCAGGCGTGACGATGAATTCGGGATTTGAGGTCGTGGTGGGATGGATTACGGATCCCGGCGTGTCGGCAATTAATTTGTTGTGCGTCTGCACCTTCGAGAGGCCGGGAGTCCATCCGAGACTCTCCAAGATCCGCTGGACGCTCTTCTCCAGATTGAGAGTGCAGAAGTGGAAACCCTGGATAGCACCTTCGTCCACCAACCGTCGGATCATGCGCACCGCGAGGCTGACGCCAAAGTCTTTGACCTTCTGATCATCGTGCTGGAGGTTGGCGAGGTCAGGGCATGCTGCAAACTCAGATACACCTGACTGACCTTCAGAGGGTCGATATCTGCTTGCAGGGATGTGGGAACATTTGTTCCGCAGAGTTTCGTCAGACGGAGGAATGAGGCATATGTTTGTATAGGCATCACGCCTGGGATAATGGGGACGGTGACACCTAGAACGGATGAGCACTGGCTGACATATGAAAATACGACACGTACCTCGTTCCCGAATCTTCTTCACCCAGCGCAGAAAGTTGTCGACGTCGTAGAATAGTTGCGTGATGATGAAATCGGCGCCAGCATCGACCTTCGCTTTGAGATAGTCGATTTCGTCGTCCTCCGACAGGCTCTTGTCTGCATGACCGTCCGGGTAGCCTAGAGCCAGTGTTAGGATGACGGATGGGGAGAGAGAAGAATGGTTTGACCTGCCACTCCGATGGAAAACGTGTCTGAGAACTCCGGCGTGGACCGGATATACTTGACCAGGTCTAGTCCATGCGTGAACCGTGGATCGGTGGGAATCCAGTACTCCTCTCCTCGTGGAGGATCTGAACAGGCTGGGTTAGTATTCAGGGTCGAAGTGGGGTTGATTTGCGACCCACCTCCTCGCAAAGCCATGATGTTCTGAATGCCAATCTCTTTCGCTGCCTGGCTCCGCACGTTATTTGAAGGTGTCGTATGCTGTGATGTATACGACGCACCCTAAGGGCTTCATCGACCATCCCCTTCTCCATGTTCGTGCAGGTCAGATGCAGGACTGTATCGATACCATACTCCTTTTGCGTCAAGGACGCGAGCTCCAGAGTACGATCCTTCGTCGACCCTCCGGCGCCCCATGTAATGCTGATTGCTAGGGGGTTCAGATCCGCCAGTCGGGATATGCGCGACAGCAGATTGCTAAATCCCTGATGCCGGGTCATTCAGATCGCATTCTTCTGGCGCCGATGGGAACGTACTTGGTCTGTCCTCGGTGGGAAGAACTCAAAGGTGTAGAAGGGCTTCTCGGTCGATCTAAACTTCTCTGCGAGCTTCATGGTTGGGTTGGGTGGATGTAGACCTTGCCTGCGAGATGGCCGTTGTGCGCAGAAGCGTGCATTGGAGGTGGCCCTAGGACAGTATGTACGAGGTTTCCGGACGGGATTGTGCGGCACGCGCTTGAGTTCTCGGAGGTGATATCGGCGTCGTCAACAACATCAAACAGCGTTTGATTCGTTTCCGAGGTCTGGTCGCCGCATGCCTTGCCATGCCTTGCCTCTAACGAGCTCTAACGACGCCGTCGCACGATCTCTAGAATACTCACCGCACTCTGCGTAATTCGCCTTCTCTCATATCCCGCATTCCTGACCGACTAGACGACCATGGCGACACCCACCTCACCGGTAAACGATATATCGTCGGGCACGCTCAAGCGCACGAAGATCGTGCTTCTGGGTGACCAGAGTGTGGGGAAGACGAGCCTCATCACAAGGTACGTGGCTAGCATGTCTTCTAGCGGCCGCCTCGTGACTTATGCATGCTCTCTGGTCGTCGGTCGTGCGAGCAGATTCATGTATGACACATTCGACAACACCTACCAAGCGACGATAGGCATCGACTTCCTCAGCAAGACTCTCTACTTGGATGATCGGACAGTGCGATTGCAGCTCTGGGATACCGCTGGCCAAGTGCGTTAGTGCCATCTTGCGGGCTTCGCAGTGCTGAGACTTGTGCAGGAACGTTTCCGTTCCTTGATTCCATCATACATCCGAGACTCTACGGTCGCCATCGTTGTGTTTGATATCACCAGTGAGTTCTTTGTTCCAATCCGCTGTTTCCGGTCTGACGCAGGCGAAGATCGCCAGTCATTCTTGTCCACGTCAAAATGGATAGACGATGTACGGTCGGAGCGAGGTAACGATGTTATGGTCGTGCTGGTAGGGAATAAGGCGGATCTGTCAGACAAGCGGTGAGCTCTTACCACGTCTGCAGTCTTCCTCTTCTGGAAGCTCTACTTATGTGTCGTATAGACAAGTTACGCTGGAGGAAGCTACCGCGAAGTCACAGCAACTCAACATC